TGTGCGGCGACGGGAAAATGATTCATCAGGATTCGAAGTCGGCGTCGCCGCGGACGCTGTCCATTTGAGACGGATGGCCGCCTGTCTAACAGCGGCCGCTGTCGGTTTTAGATAGCACTTGTTGCTGGGCATCGTCCCCATGCTTCCCGTACTCATTCCGGGCGTGCCATGCGGACGGCAGGTGCACATCCTGGCGGCGCGCCCACCTTGACGTCCACGCGCCGTGAAAAAAGGTCACGGCGGGGCTGACCGAGAAAACCAATTCAGGATGACAAGGCGATCCCTAAGAAGAAGCCCAGACCTCTGGGGATCCGCGTCGTGGAAAACAAGACGTCGGAGGATTGGGCAGGGTGGAAGGGCGAGCGCGGCGGCCGGCCATCCGAGAAGACAGGGAGGATTTTGGGAAGCCCGCTCGCCTTCTGAGAGGCCCTTTGAGACACCTGAGAGGCGAGAAGGCTGCCGGGTCTCCAAGAAGCCCCCTCAGAAGGCCCGCTGCCTTGCTGGAAGGCCGCCCCCGTCGCCGTTCCTTCAGGTCCGACGCCGCGAAAACAGAGCAAGATCGTGGAGAAAGAGCCATGACCGCAGCCCTGGACCTCATCCTGCTGCGGCACTTTCTCGAGCTGGATCGACCTGCAAGGGCCCACGGAGCCCGACGCCGGGCGGGAGCCCGTGGTGTGAGGACGTGGCCACGCCAAGATCTCAGGGCTTTCTTCCCGTGCGCGCCGCTGGCCACCACTGGGCCATCTCTTGGGGCCCTCGTCGGGCCCTCCCTCTCTCGCTCGGCGTTGCCTCGGCTCCTGGCCAGGCCGGGGGGCCACATGCACCGAGGCCCGGCCCGGAGCGGGTTTGAGCTGGCTCAGCGGCGTGTCTCCGAGTTCCGCCCGAGGGCTCCAACAGTGAACGAGAAGCGCCACAAAAAGGCGCCGGAAGGGAGGAAATCGGAGCGCTGGACCGCCCGGTCCGCCAGCCGTTCCGCCTGAGGCTTCCTCGCAGTTTATTCAGGAATCGCGCTCTCGCATCAATGTCGGCTACATCGTTGGTCCGGACGGCCACGATCCTTGGCAAAAAACACAGTACGGTGCACATGGCCGTGCTCTCCCCCTGTCCCCCATAGCTGGCCTCCTACTCCTCGACGCGTCTCTTCACCTTTGCTGCTACTAGGGTGCTTGGTGTGGTCGTTTTGTGCCTAACAGATTGTCTCCCCAACGTCCCATGATTGAAGGAGGAAGCTGGTATGAGCATGATGCCCCGATGATGTCCTGATGGTGTCCCATGGTGGCTTAAACGCAAATCGCATGCAAGCCAGATCATGGTATCGAATTGCATACGGCTTGTCAATCGCAATGTTTCCCGATGGCATCCCGATGATGCATCGACTGCGAAGCATCGAAAGCGATGCAATTCTGAATCGATCGTGGATCGCATGGTATCCCGATGTTGTCTTATGAGTGCCCCAGTGGCTTTCCGACGAAAACAATGGCTGATAATACACGTTTCGAACGCGAACCATATGGTGATCCGATTGCGAATATAACACGAATATAATGTGAATCACACGTGGAGCAAATGTGAAACAATTGGTAGCCATAGGGAGAGATTCGTGAAGTGCATGTGAGTACCTTGCGTGTCAAATGCGAGACGGACGCAAATCGAGTGCGAATCTAAATCATGTTTTCGTGAATCAAGGGTGAATCCAGAATGCGAGTCGCATGTGGAACAATTGGGATTAGCATGGCCTTCGGCACATCCCGCCACAATGCCTGGGTCGTGGATGCATCTCGTAAGGCTCTTGCTGGCCTCCTGGGAACCTCTTGGGGGCCTGCTAACGGTCTCGGTGCGGGGCGGAGGGCTCGAAATGTCAATTCGTGTTCCCTCTCTTGGACCATCTTGGGGCCGTCCTGGGGGCCTCTTGGGCCGACTCTGGGCCTTCTCGGGCCGTCTTGCGGCATTATTTCGGGCTTGTTGGGTCGTCTTGAAAACAATATTGCGGGGCTTCTTCGGCCTTCTTGGAGCGTCGGCAGCTCGAAAAGGCGAGAACGCTCAAACTCGTCAAAACCCACAGGGAATTCTTGAGGCGCTCTTGGGCGGCCTCTTGGAGCCTTCTTGGGGCGCGTTGAGCGCCTCCTGGGCCGTCTCGGGTCCATCGTGGGCTGTATTGGGGCCCTCGTGTGCCATCTCGGCGCTCTCTAGAATCGATTGGGGCCCTTCTCAGAAGAATCTTGAAGGTTCGTCGGGTCGTGTTGGGCGGGTTCACCGTCCCAGAGGCCGACGCGACACCCCAGAAGCACCCGAGAGCGCCCAGACATTCCAGGAGAAGCGTGTTCCAGGCCTTGAAGAACCTTGCACTCCACCAAATTCGGGTACTTGCATGAGCCTTGAGACACTCAACTTCGTGCTAAAGCCACGGTGGCGTATATGGGGGCACAGTTCGGATTCAACGTGAATCCAATATCATTCATGTTCGAATCAATCGAGGTTTCAAATGTGGCGTGGTTTTGTGTGCAGATCGATGCGATTCGAATGCAGATCCGATAGGAGAGACGCGGGATCTTGATTGCATGGTCGCGTCCAAATGCGTCAAAACATCGTATCGTACACTTGCGCATCAAATGAACATGTCTTACCGAATACATGTGAATAAACGTGTTTCGGATGGGACCCGAATGTGGACAAAGCGTCGTCCAAGCAGCATCTTGATTAGAGAGAAACTTGTAGATCATAATCAAATGAATGTTGAATGGAATGCGAGTCCAATGTGAAGTTTGCGTGAAAACATGTGAATATTTCCAGCCCGAAGTGCTTATCAAGAGTGGCGATTTGCGATATGTTGTGATCGAGTCAGTCTCCAATGCGGAGCCCTTCCATCTCTGCATCCCTGTTGGCCTCGGGGTCAGTTTGCCTGGCAGCCTTGCAGCGTGCTGGCCCTGAGAGGGACCACCGCTTCTTGATGGGATTCACCAGCCAGCTCCCGAGACATCCGGCGTCTCGATTTTTTCGAGACACGGGCCCCCGACGTCTCGACCATGTCCTTGGGACCGGTGTTTCATCCCAAGTCGTTCCTCGACTGTCCCGGGGACCGGTAAGAGCCCCGAGAGGCCGAAAGCGACGAAAGCCATCCGTCCCGCTGTTTCGAAACGCGGGCTGGGACCTTCGGCAGTCGCCGGATGTCTCGGCGTCTTCCGCGGAGGAGGCCCTGCCTCGCGTGCGGCGGGCCGTCGGCCGCCAGTCTCCTGCCGAGGCCTACCTGTCGCCTGGACCCCCGCCCAGCCCACGTCGGCATCACCCTAAGGGGGCGCCCAACGGCTCACCGTGAAGCAGAGGAACAAGACGTCATGATGATGATGATGGTGATGATGACGATGATGATGATGATGATGATGATGATGATGATGATGATGATGATGGTGATGGTGATGATGATGATGATGATGATGATGATGATGATGATGATGATGATGATGATGATGATGATGATGATGGCGATGATGGTGATGGTGATGATGATGATGATGATGGTGATGATGGTGATGATGATGATGATGATGGTGATGATGGTGATGATGATGATGGTGATGATGATGATGATGGTGGTGGTGGTGATGGTGATGGTGATGGTGATGGTGATGATGCGTTCCAGGGCATCCAAGATGTCTAGGATTCCTCGAGGTCTTTCAGATGGGGTCCGAGAAGATGGGGTCGGAGGATCGCGCCGCATCGCCGATGCATCGGCGATGCGGCTCGATGCGGAGCCCATGTTTCCCCACGCCGACGCATCTCCGGAGCATCGCCGATACATCGGCGATGCCTTGGCGATGCGGCGCGATCCTTCGACCCCATCTAATTGCTCGGACCCCATCTAGGAGGCCTCTAGTGAATCAGAGGAGCAGGAGGTCATGATGATGATACGTTCCAGGGCTTCCAAGATTTCTAGGAGTTCCCGGATGTCCTGATGTTGCACACGGCTGCAGAAACAAAAGGGTGGGCAGATGCTGTGGAGATCGGGGAGCGCATCTCGAGCCAATGCTATCATGATTTGTGTCTCGCCCTGGTGGAGAGGAGAGGGCGCCTGGAGGATACGGTTCCCGAGGGTCTTTCTCCCCAGACATCTGGCGCGTGTCGAAAAAATCGAGACGGAGGTTTTTCATAGCTTTCTGCCTCTCGGAGCCCTCACCAGACCTCGGGACCGCCAAAAACATTTTGGGATGAAAAAATACTCCCGGGAAAGTGGTCGAGAGGTCGGAGGCTCGTGTCTCGAAAAAACCGAGAGATTTAAATGTCTGAGACTTGGGAAGGTCTCTCCGTTTCCGGGCCGTCAGAAAATTGTCCAGGATGAAAAATTGATCCAGGGGGGAAGCTCTGGGACCTCGGGCTCGTTTCCACACAGAAGCCCTCCCCAGATCCCCGACGTCATTTTTGTTCATAACGTTGGCCCCCAGAGGTCTGGACCAATTTTCTGAGTTTCTCATCCCGAGTCGTTTTTTGACGGTCCCGGGGGGGCGAGAACGATAAAAAAGTCCGTCTCGATTTTTTCGAGACGCTGGATGTTTGGTTTTAGAGTCATAATTCGGCTCTCTGGCGGCCGTTCCGAGCGATCCAGGCACCCCCAGTGCGCCCTCAGGCGAGGCGCAGTCGCTGGAAGGCAAAGCCGAGGAGAACCAGCGAGAGCGCGCGAAAACTCCGAGCCTCGCCCCTTTTGATTTTTTCAGCACGTTTGAGATCTGGGTCGCCCTCTCCTCAGGCATAGGGGAACGAACACAGACGTAAACATAAAAACTCGGAGGTCCGCGCGGATTTCGCGGATCCACGTTGGACCCCCCTGGCGGCGCCTCCGGCGCCGCCGCTGGCGCGCCAGGGAGGAGGGTCCAGCGCCGATCCGAGAAATCCGCACAGAACTCCGAGGTTTTTTATGTTTATGCCAGCGTTCGTTCCCTTATGGCAACCTGGCGGGGGCGTGTCGGCTCGGCCGGGCTGGTCTCCGGCAGAGAAGGGGCCGCGCCGAGGTCCGGCGGCACGCCGAGGAGCCGCGCGGCCTGAGCGGGGGAGCTTGCCAGGGGCTCCTCGCGGGAGCGGAGGCCCCGGCGGCGATGGTTCCCCGCCCCTCCCCTTTGCTGCTCGCCGGAGCCAGTGCTGGGCCATTTCTACCAGCGCTGGCGCCAATACACCCGTAAGCTTTTCAAGAAGAAGAATGTGTATGTTGTATGTACACATATGCATATGTATAGATATATATATATATATATATATATATATATATATATATATATATATATATATACATATATATATATATATACATATAACGGGGGACCGGGTCCGGGGGCCCGGGGCCGGGACCTCGACCGCAAATGTGGGCTCCGGGGGGCCCGGAGGCTCGTCGGGGCTTGCCGGAGGCCTCCCCGGTCAGACAAGAGGGCCCCAGAAGCGCCCAAGACGGCCCAAGAAACTTCCAAGAGGCCTCCAAGAGGGCTCCGAGATGCTGAAGATGGCCTCCAGACGTCCAAGGACGCCCCCAAGAGGCCCCAAGAAGCCTCCAACATGCGTCCCAAGAGGGCCCCTAGACGCAAAAAATTGGCCCATTCCCTTCGTAAAACGTACATTTTCAACAAAGTTGCCTTTTGGGCTTTCCGACGTTACAGGACGGCCCAAGAGGCGCCCAAGACCGCCCCAAGACGGCCCAAGAAGCTTCCAAGAGGGCCCCAGGACAGCCCAAGAGGGCCCCAAGACGGCCCAAGAGGCGCCCAAGATGGCCCAAGAGGGCCCCAAGACGGGCCCAAGAGGGGGCCCAGAGGGGGACCACGAACCGCAAGCTCGAGCCTTCCGCCCCAAGAGGCCGCCAGGAGGCCCCAGGAGGCCCCTCAAGAGGCCCCAGGAGACCCCCAAGAGGCCCAAAGGAGGCCCCGAGAAGCCCCAAATCGGCCCCCCAAATGCTTCGAACCTGCTTCCAGGAGGCCCCCGACAGGTTCAGAGGCTCCCAAGAAGCTACGTCAAACTCCCAGCGAGCGGCCGGACGAGGCCCCCCAAAAAATCCCAAGAGGGTTCCAGTATTTGTATCCTTCAGCGCTCTCTGGCCTTCTTTCCCCTGCCCCCTTCCCTGCGACTTTCGTTGACTCAAGCTCGCCTCCTCTCCATTTCCTCTCTCTGCCTCTCTATCTCTCTCTCTCTGTCTTCTTCTCTCTCTCTCTCTATCCATCTCTCTTTTTTTTTTTTCTCTCTCTCTCTCTCTCTCTCCTTCGCTCTCTGTCTGTCTGTCTCTCTCTCTCTCTCCCTCTCTTTCTCTCTCTTTCTCTTTCTTCCTTTCATATTCCGTGTCCTTGCGACCTTCTGCAGTCCCCGACGTCGCCACGGCTGGATTCGCTCGAGCGTGTCTTGTGATGTGCGGCGGTGCGAAGCCCGTCCCACTGATCAAGGCACAGGTACGAAATGATGGGTCCATCATTTCTTGCCTTCCCATGTGCGTTTTCCCAATCGATTCCTGGGCCCGAGGTCGCAAAATTACGACGTCGGAGGTCTGGGGAGGCGGGAAGCACGACCTGGACCTCCGACGTCTTGGAAAAATCACGACGGCGGTTTCGGTCAATTTTCGGCCTCCGGGGCCCCTCGCAGGGTCCCGGGACCGTCAGAAAACGACTCAGGATGAAAAAAAAAAACATCCCCAGGAAGTCGTCGAGAGGTCCAGGGGCCGCGCACAGAAAGCATCACGACATCGGACGTCCAGAGAGGAGGTAGGAACACGAGGAGGAGGGAGCCCAGACCTCCTGGCGACGCAACACCAAATACAACAACAGCTTCCCCGCGACTTCCCCCAGAGACTCTAACTACAGAAACTCCTTTCGTATTCCGGCCAGAAGCATCCAGAAACGATGTACATTAGCCCTGGCGGGGGGAGTGATGGCGATGGTGATGTTCATGATGACGACGGTGACGATCCTAGCTAGAACCTAAGCGCGCGCGAAGCGCGCGCGTGGTTCTAGTGTATATATATATATATATATATATATATATATAGGTATGTGTATACATGCATGCATGCAGACATACATACATACATATACATATACACAAACATATACAAATACGTGTTCACATACATATGCACGTACACATACATATACATACACATAGTTGTACACATATGCATATACACATACGTAAGCATATACATGCATACCTACAGACAGACAGACATACATACACAAAGACATACATACATACATACAGACAGACAGACAGACAGACATACAGACAGACGGACACACACACACATACAGACATACATGCATACATACCTACATACATATGCATACGCATATGCATGTACATATACATAAGCATCTACATCTACATCTACATCCATGCAGACAGACAGACATACTCACAGACATACATACAGACATAGAGACATACCGGCATACAGGCATATAGACGTACATGCATACACACATGTACATATACCTATACATGTAAATATATATATATGTAAACATATTCAGATACATACATATATGTGTACCTGAGTATGCATATACATACACGTTTACACATACAGACATACAGACAGACAGACACACAGATTTACACACATGCATGCATACATCCATACACGCATACACGCATACATGCATACACACATACATACATACATGCATGCATGCATGCATGCACATGCACATGCCTGCAGACATGAATGCATGCATGCATACATACATATACGCACACAAACACACACACACACACACACACACACACTTCCAGATCAGAGTTTGAGTTTTCTTTTTGAATGTGTGAGAAAGTTTGGATTCCAGGCGATAGACTGCGGCGATTGCCCGAGGTTTCTGGTATCGTCTCTTGCCCCTTCCATTTCTTATTTTTGGCAGTTTGCTTCTGCTGCCGCTGCTTTTTCGTAGATTTCTGCCGGTTTTCTAAACCCAGACCTTGACCACTGGTTACGAAAACGAGACGTGCAGAGTTTGTTTTCTTAGGCTCAAGTTTTCTTAAGACTATTTTCCGGTGTAGCTCCCCGGGGGGAGGATCAGAAAAGGAACACCAAGACATTTGGCGTCTCGAAAATTGGGTACGAAATTTGTCATCGTTGTCGGCCTCTCGGGGCCCTCACCGGGCCTCCGGACCGTCAAAAACGACTCGGGATGAAAAGCCAGTCCAAGGGAAGTGGTCGAGAGATCAGGGGCCCGTGTCTCGAAACTATCGAGACGCCGGATGTCTTGGTCCTGTCCTTGTTTGGGCCTTTGGGGGACCTGCTGGGTGCCGATCGCTCCCTGAGGGGAGGATCAGAGAAGGGAAAGGTACCAATACCCTCCGACCCTGGCGTTGCCTTTTTTCACAACGGGCGATTGTTCCTTGCTTCGGGCCCCAGGACTCTCACAGATCGATCCAGCAAAACATGGCGCAGAAAGATGGGGTCTGGGGCTCCAGTTGCGATTTTGCGAGGTGTTGCATTTTTTTCGCGTCGTCGGATCTCGGGGTACCGATCTCTTTTCCTCGTTTGGGCCGTTTTGGCCTCCCGTGAGGCCCTCGTCGCCACCGCCGGATTCACCTCGAGATTCTGGTCGGAACGCACCCCGGGAAAGGAGCGGCATCGGTTTTTTCTGTTTCCCCAGAGGAGTCGCCGACCCCCATCCCGCCGGTTGCGCGCAAGAGTGGCCCTTCGGCGGAGCGATGCGGGCCCACAACACAGGGGTCTTCCCCGGCACTGGCTCGCGCGCGCTGGTCTGCCCCTCCCCCACCCCCCTCGAAGCCGCGCGCCAAAACTATTTCTTACCTATGTAGGTTCGCCCGTGCGCGCAGTCGAACCTTACTCCTAACATTTGTTCGCGGCGGAGTGGCAGGACGTAATGTGTCGAGCAGTGGTGCGCCTCGAGACGAAGAGACAGAAGTAGCGCAGGGCGCTACAGCAGCATGGACATGGAACGGCAAGACGAGCTGAAAAGATGGAAAGTCACAACGGGACCAAAGTATGCGGCTGCGCGGCAGGATCAAGCAATCTCTCCTATGCACAGCCTCCTCCCCTCATCCGTCTGGCGCCCGCCCCTCCAAACCCTTCAGTTGCGGCTTGCTGCGAGCGGCCAGGATTGCGGCAGTAGCCGTGAAAAAAAAGCGTGGGCCGATCAAATGTTAAAGCGTGCCGATGTCGCGCGCCTTAGCACAAACATCTCTACGATATATATTTCGGTCTGCCTGTAGCCATGAGCCCTGGTCTCTGAAGGGCCTGTGATTTATGAGAGCACCTGTATGTAAACTGTCTGCGGGAACTGTTCCGCTAGCAAGGCTACTGAAAGCGATAGCGGAGCGATCGAGCTGCGCAACAGCATTCACACAGGAGGGGAATAGGAGGAATGAGACAAGGAAATTGCACAGGAACAGGGGGAATGTATGTCTGCAATAGACGTGCGTTGATCAAACTGTACTCGCCGTGCAGAGGCGAAGGCGCGAGCAGTAGGGTGGCACAGGGAACAGTGAAATCGCACAGCTTCCGTTCGGACAGATGATTTTGAAGAGGAGCAGTAAAAAATGATGAGACACAGGTCGATGATATGTGGTGTGACATGGGAGCCACTTTGGGTTCATGGCTGGTTGTACATGGCAGGAAGATGTGTTGGCCGTTGTTACCCCGTGCAGAGGCTCGGCCTGCCTTGGGGCCGAGTCTGGCCCGTCGAGTGTTCGCCTTCTTCGAGGTTCTTCGAGAGACAATTGTCATTTAGCTTACCTTGAGAAGCAGCCTTCAGGTTTCAAGGGGCGGTGGGGCGAGAAGGAGGGGAGGATTTGGAGGAGAGGAGACGAAGGAAGACGGTCAAGCAAGTGTGGTGGCCAGATGCAGTCCCGCTTGCCTGGATAAGTCCACGAATGTGGGGGGGGCATGGGCGCCCGATCCATCTCTGACTCCTGCACAGCATGAGGTATAGTGAGTGTAGTATCTGTTCTTTTCATCTCAGCTTGGAGAGCCTCAGGCATGTGGGGCTCAAGTTTGAGGTCAATGAAAAGGGTGCCACTTCATAAGTCATGGTAGCGCTTGCGAGGTGAGCCCCACGTGCCTCCAGGCGGCGGTCTGCACGCCATGGCGGCGACGGTCGAGCAGATGAGGGAGCTGGCGGATCGGCTGCTGGCGCTGGAGAGAGACAATGCACAGATGGTCGAGGAGCTTCGACGTGTGAGGCAAGAAGGACCTCACCAGCAGATCGTGGAAGCATTCAGGGAAGCATTAGAAGAGACCCGAGGTCGAAGGTCAGGCGGCAGCCTCATCGACACGAAAGGACTCAACAAGCCGTCGGTGTTCTCAGATGATGAGTCGTCATTCATTACATGGTCGAGGAAGCTGGAGAACTTCGTGGCCAACGTATACCGAGAGGCAAGAGAGCTGCTCGCCATTGCAGCAGAGCAGGTGGAGTCGGTCACATATCAAGCGCTGCAAGGAGATGATCTTCAGAACCCGAGGATCGGCCAGGAGATGCTCGAAGAGATCGACGATCAATTGTACGTAGTGCTCTCGTCGCTGACTGACGGCGAGGCTTTCAATATCACGGTATCGGCAGGGAGCGGCAACGGATTCGAAGCATGGAGGCGCTTGAATAGGCGCTTCGACCCCATCACAGCAGGCAGATCTAGGAGCATCCTCCGCAGCATCATGGACCCAGGCAGGGCGAAGTTGCAGGATCTCCAAGCGGCCATCGAGAGGCTGGAGGAGCTCATGAGGAGGTACGAGAGCCGAAAGGACACTGCAGGCCAGCGCCGCACGCTCGCCGAGGACATTAAGATGGCGGCGCTGGAGGCCATGCTCCCGGATGAACTGGAGCGGCATGTGCAGATGAACAAGAATCGCATTACTTCCTATGCCCTGATGCGTGAGGAAGTGACCACATATGCAGAGAGCCGCGCCGGTGTCATGACTAAGGCAGCGGCTAAGCCCCCGTCCAAGCCCGTCGCCGTGGACCCGGATGCCATGGACACCAGCGCCCTCTGGCGCGACACTGGCAAGGGCAAGAAGGTTGAATGGAAGGGCAAGGGCAAAGGCGACAGCAAGGGCAAGGGCAAGGACGGGAAGAGTAAAGGTAAGGGATCCAGCTCCAAGGGTGGCAAGCAGTCCGGCAAGAAGGGAGTCACGAACGACGGCTACGGCTCCGCCAAGCAGATGTGCTGGAACTGCGACAAGCCCGGTCACCTCGCGAAGGACTGCTGGGCGCCACCTCGAGGACAAGGCAAAGCAGGAGGAAAGCAAGGAGGCAAGACGAGTAAGGATTCGAAGAATGGCTCGAAGGGAGGCCAAGGGAGCCTAGACTACGAGCCAGAGCAAGAACGTGACGTCGGTGCTCTGGAAATGTGCTGCTTGGACTCGAAGCATGATGAGTACTTACAGTTGGCGAGCTTCGAGGAGTCCGGCAAGGACAAATGGGTCCGAATGAACTTCGACACGGGTTCCGCGAAGACGGCCTTCCCTCTCGAGATGGATTGCGGCAAAGCTATGAAGACGGAGAGTGTCCTCAACTTCAGGACCGCCACCGGGGAGATCATCAACAGTACGGAGGGCTACGGTATTCGTGGCTTCACGGAGCACCAGCAGCTGCTGAAATTCAAGGGCGTGAAGGCGCCCGTACACAAGGTGCTCCTCAGCGCGGGAGATGTCACAGGAGCAGGGAACGATGCATTCCTCATGGGCGACTTCGGTTACATCATCCATGGGAACTCCCCGGTGCACGCAGAGCTGAGGGCCGCGTTCAGAGAGATCGCGGCACGGCACAGTTATGAAGGCATCGTCACCATGTACAAGGAAAGGAACGTGTACAACCTCTACGTGAACGTGAATAAGGACGAGGAAGGCGGGCACGACCTGTGCCCCTACGACGAGGGCCAGCCGGGTTTCCGGCGGCCGGGCCAGCGCCTGTAAGTCCAGCAGGAGCGGGAGCGGGCGGCGAGCCTGCAGCCAGCGCTCCCGGAGGTGATGAAGAGATGCAGGCAGAGGATGAAGCTGTGGAGCAGGAGGTGCCGAAGCAACCTCACCGAGTGAAAGCTCCAACGAGAGAGGAGGTAGAAGATCACGAGTCCAGCGGCCATGCTGTGTACCGCACCTGGTGCCGGCACTGCGTCGCTGGGAAAGGTCAGCAGCACCCGCACCTGAAGCAGACAGAGGAGAGCTTGGAGGTGGAAGCGTGCTTCGACTACGGCTACATGGGCAGGCGTGCTGAGGAGTGCGCGCCGATTATCTGTGCGAGAGAGACGGGCCAAGGAAGTTACGCAGCCACGACGGTGCCCACCAAGGGAGCGGCACCATACGCCATCGCGTACCTGGTCGGCTGGTTGAAGGGCCTTGGCTACAAGAGGATCATATTCAGGTCGGACAATGAGCACGCGCTGCTGAAGCTGCTGGACAAGGTCTCAGAGAATCTCATGGGCGTGGAGTGCGTGCCTCGCACATCGCCTGAAGGGGACAGCCAGGCCAACGGGAGAGCAGAAGCAGCGGTCAGGGAGATCAAGAACCAGTGCCGAGTGCTGAGGAGCGAGCTGCGCGAGAAGTACGGGAAACCTATCCCAGAGAAGAGTTCGCTGTTCACGTGGCTGCCAAGGTTTGCGGCCAACTGCGTGAACCGCTACAGGCTCGGCAAAGATGGCAGGAGCGCAGAACATAGGCGTTCCGGCAGGAGATGGAAACGCCCGGCGGTCAACTTCGGCGAGAAGGTGATGTACCGCCCGGCAGGGGCGGTCAAGAGCCAAGCGAGCTTGGAGGACAGGATGAAGATGGGCATCTACGTCGGGCATCACGAACGATCTGGCGCTTCGATGTTCATCACGGAGGGAGGTATGGTTCGAGGAGTCGGTATTCATAGACTTCCTGCAGGTGATCGATACGACGTGGACTACCTGATGAAGTGCAAGGGATGCCCATGGGCGCCTTCTGAGCGCGGCACCACGGACAAGCCGATGGTGGGCGCTGCGGATGGGCCAGAGGTGATTGAGATGCCGCAGCCAGCGGTGACCGCGGCAGGAGGGTCCGCGGCAGCAGGAGGAGGAGACGCGCGTGCCAGTACGGAAGATCCGAGCTCGGGCGCGGCGTCGTCAAGAGGTGCAGCTGGAGAGGCTGCAAGGGCATCCCAGCTTGGCATGAGGAAGAATTTCTACGTTATGAGGGCTGATATCGAGAAGTACGGCACCACCGCGAGCTGCGCGGCGTGCAGGAAGATGCTGGACGGCCAGCAACCCACGACAGGGCACAACAAGGAGTGCCGCGACAACATCCTGAAGAAGCTGAAGGAGGAAGGCTCTCATGAAGCAAGTGTGAGAGTCAGCGCTCACGAGTCGAAGGTGGGCAGACCGCAAGGTGAAGCGGTAGAGGACCTGAGGGCCAAGAGGGCGCGGGTCGAGCAGGAGGAGCGACCCGCGCAGGAGGTGGCAGGCGAGCCGCCTCAAGAAGATCTGGAAGAGGGACCCGTTCAAGGAAGCGAGGTCAGGAGGCTTGAGGAGGTGCGGAGGCGCGCCGACAGGCGAATACGAGAGGCGCTCACTGGCGGTGAGACGCAGGGATCGCCTGCGGCCAAGGCACGCCTGTCCGCGCCTAGAGGAGTCAAGAGAGATGGAGGCGAGCCGGGAGACGCGGCTCGAGGTGACGGAGGACACGTTGACGATGACGTGGAGCTGCCGGCAGGGACCGGCGCGGGAGGCGCAGCATCGAGCAGCTCTGGCGGAGGAGCCCCGGCGGCGTCCAGTGGAGGAGACCCGACGGGAGCACCCACTGATGCGGATGCCGGAGCCCTCAGCTGCGAGAAGATCAAGATGGTCCCAGCCGTCGCGAAGAGGCTCAAAGAAGCAATGCGGTATCACGAGCTGGATGCCAGTGAGGAAGAGATAGCGAGCATGGCCATCTGCCTATGCTCGCTTGCGGCGGTGGACGTGGCCGAGATCTACACACCTCCGAGGTTTACCCCCAGTGCGGCCAGCTACGGGATGAGGCCAGGGTTCTGCATCGACCTCACCACCGTCAAAGCCGATGGGCAGCACTGGGATCTCGCCAAGGAGGAGGACCAGAAGGAGTTCGAGAAGCTTCAGGCGAAGGAGGAGCCGAAGCTTTTGATCGGCTCACCACCGTGCACAGACTACTGCCCGTTGCTCAGGCTCAGTCATAGCAAAGAGGAGGTGGACGAGAGGAGGCGTGTCGGTGGTGACACGCACATCAGGGTGTGCGCTGCCGGCTACAAGAGGCAGCTGGAGGCCAACGCTTACTTCCTGCACGAGCATCCGAGGCACGCGGCCTCGTGGAAGCTCAAGGAGATGGAGGAGTTGGCGGCGGACCCGCGCGTCTTCAAGGTTCACGGGCCGATGTGCAACTGGAACCTGCGCGCGGAGAGCAAGCACGGCGAGACAGGGTACATTCGCAAGGAGACGACCTGGCTGACGAACTCGGTGGAGCTTGCCAAGACGTTGCGAGGGGTATGCGCGAACTACCGAGGGGGTCCGATGCACCGGCACTTGCACTTGATCGGAGGTGAGCGCGTGAAGGCGGCGGCCAGCTATACACCGGAGCTGGTTCGGGGAGTGCTGCGAGCGTTCCGGCGCCAGCTCACGCGGGACAATGACGAGTATGTCCAGCACAGCTTTGACGCGGGGCCGGTGCCAGACAAGACACTCTGGTGGGACGAGCCGGAGAGTTACGAGGAGGTCGAGAAGGCCTGGGACGACATCAACCAGGAGGAGCTCGACGCGAAGGAGGTCAAGAAGGCCAGGCAGGAGGAGATGCAGTGGGTGAAGGACATGAAGGTGTTCAAGACGGTCCCGGAGGCCGAGTGTTACGAGAAGCAGGGCAAGCCGCTGACGATGAGATGGATTGATACCCGCAAGGTGACTGGAAAGTATCGCTCAAGGCTGGTTTGCAGGGAGATCAAGCGTGCCAAGAAGGTCGAGGACAGGCTCGACCCGGCGGAGGTCTTCAGTGCCATGCCTCCGATTGAGAGCCTCAAGATGCTGATTAGTGAATGGATGACACTGGATGACGGGCACGACATCAGAGACTTCGTGATGGCAACATTCGACATCTCTCGAGCACACTTCTCGGCAGAGCAGAACAAGAGAGAGGTATATGCGACGCTGCCAGAAGGCTTCGAGAAGGAGGGGCACGTCGCGAAGATGCTGAAGGCTATGTACGGGACCGAGGATGCGGCCCACCTCTGGGGCGAGACCTGGGCGGGCCAGCTGGAGAAGCACAAGGTCCGCGTCGGCACGGCCTCGAGAGCTCTGTTCGCAAACGAGAAGTACAAAGGATTATGCCACGGCGACGACTTCGTGGTCCTATGCAAGAGGAGCAACGTCGAGGAGTTCAAAGGCATTCTGAGTGAGAAGTTCGATGTGAAGTGTGGCGCGATCATCGGTTTTGCGGAGAAGGACGACAAGATCATGGCCATCCTCAACCGGGAGGTAAGAATCAACGACGTTGAGCAGTGCGTGGAGCTCGAGGCGGACAAGAGGCACGTGCAGAAGTTGCTGAAGGAGTTGGGCCTGGAGAAGTGTAGTATCGTGACCACGCCGAGGGTGAAGCTCACCTTGGAGGAGGTGCAGGCCCATGAGAGTAGTCCTCTGCTCAGCCCTGCAGAGGCCACCAAGTACAGATCAGCGACGATGAGGTTAAAGTACGTGGACCAGGACCGCATAGATATTACTGAGTCAGTCAAGTGCTTGGCGCAGCACATGTCGGCACCGCGTGAGGGACACCTTACAGAGTTGAAGAGGCTCGTGCGGTATCTCCGCGGTGCACCCTACGAGAAGCTGATCTACAAGGCCCAGGAGCACGGGAACATCGAGTGCTACGTCGACTCCGACTGGGCCGGGAACCTCAAGGACCGGAGAAGCACGTCTGGCATGCTACTCTTCAGAGGCTCCCACCTGCTGCGGAGCAGCAGTACATTGCAATCGATCACAGCACTGTCCAGCGCAGAGGCGGAGTATTACGCGGCCACCAAGGGTGCCGCGTACGCTCTGGGCACCAGGAGCTACTTCCGCGACATCGGACGCGAGCTGGACGTCACGGTTCATACAGACTCAAGTTCAGGCCGCAGTTTTGCGTCCAGGCGCGGGCTCGGCAAGATGAGACATATCTGCACGAGGTATCTATGGTTGCAAGAGCAGATCTCAGGGAAGGCGCTCAAGCTCTTGAAGATTGCTGGGACATCGAACCCAGCCGACATCATGACGAAGCAGCTGCCCGTCAAAGACATGCACCGCTACATGTACGAAGCGGGGCAACGGCGCAGTGAGCAGGCACCAATAGCATGAATTCAAAGATCCGTGGACCACACTCCGCTACTTTCAGTACGTTCTAGGGCTCTAAGGAAGAGGGAAAGCGCAGACACCGTGACAGCCATCACGGTGCCCGATCTCTGCAGCCGAGCCACAACTATTTGAAAACTCATAGGCGCGACGCGCCCGTCATGTGCGTCTGAGGCGCGAGCGAGAGGCTCGCGCGCAGGAGCAGCAGGAGCATTCACTCGTCTCGGCCGCTTCGGGGCGGCGTGACTCCTGCACAGCATGAGGTATAGTGAGTGTAGTATCTGTTCTTTTCATCTCAGCTTGGAGAGCCTCAGGCATGTGGGGCTCAAGTTTGAGGTCAATGAAAAGGGTGCCACTTCATAAGTCAATCTCCCACCCCATCCGTTGAACTTCGTCGCCTTCGTCCTGGGGTCCCCATCGTCGTCGTCGTCGTCGTCGTCGTCGTCCGCGTATGGCCGCGTCGTCGTCCTCCTGGCCCCCCGCCTCCTGCTCATTCCCCTCCTCCCCCTCCTCCTCCTCCTCCCAACTCATCCCCTTAGATCCGACGTCGCGAAAAAATAGCCTGGCGAAGGGCCCAACCACACGCAGCTGTGAGTGCCGTAGGTGTGAGTATCGCCTTCGGTTGGCAGGGCAGAAGGCAGCACGGACAGGGGGCGGCGGGCGGAGCGGAAGGGTCGACGAAACGTACGAGGGTTGCGCCGAAACGGTGTAGAGAAGGCATATGCGTGCCTAGCCAGTGGGGCCTCAGGTGGAGCTCCCGATGTGGCCACGAAGCGTGCGAGGGGTGCACCGAAATAGTGTGGAGATGGCATGCGGGCCGTTGCACTGGGGCCTCAGGTGGAGCCGCCTAGGGGTCAACGAAACGTGTGAGGGGCGCGCCGAAGTGGTGTGGAGAAGGCGTACGAGCCCTGGCATTGGGGCCAGGTGCGCCGAAGCAGAGATTACGGAGGGCAAAGGAAGGCAGGGGTAGGAGGTGCGAATTCAATACGAGGACCCAACACCACCACAGGATGGTTGGGAATGATGACGATGACAATGGCGATGGCGATGGCGATGACGATAATGATGACGATGCTGATGATGATGGTGATGTTGACGACGACGATGATGATGATGGTGGCGATGATAAGTATGCTGACGATGGGGATGTTGATGATGATGAGGATGATGATGATGATGTTGGTGATGATGATGGTGACGATGACGATGATGATGCTGATGATGATGATGATGATGATGATGATGGTGATGATGGCGATGACGATGACGATGCTGATGGTGATGATGATGATGATGATGGTGGTGATGGCGATGGTGATAGTGATAATGGTGATGACGAGGAGGAGGATAGTGATTGTGGCGATAATGACGACGACGATGACGATGACCATGATGATTATGATGTTGATGCCGCTGCTTCTGTTGTTGGTGATGGTGTTGATGATGATTATGAGGGTGGTGATGAAGAAAAAGATGAGTATGACAATGATGATGATGTTGGACATCATGATGGTGATGATGGTGATGGTGATGATGATGACGATGGCAATGACGGTGCTGATACTGATGTTGAAGGTGATTATGGTGTTGGTGCTAATGATGATGGTGGTGTTGATGCTAAACTTGATGCTGATGCTGATACTGTTACTGATGACGATGACGATGAAGATGAATATGATGATTGTGGTGCTGATGATGATGGTCCTGCTGAACATGGTGTTGATGATCATACTGATCATGGACATGGTGTTGCTGATGATGATGTTGCGAATGATGATGAAGATGGCGAAGATGTTGATGGTTATGATGATGATGCTGTTGGTGTTGGTGAGGATGATGATGCCGATGGTGATAGTGATGATGGTGATGAGGAGGAGGAGGCGGAGGGTGATGATGATGATGACGATGATGATGATGGTTGTGATGATGATAATGATGATGACGTGGATGATGATGATGATGATAATGATGATGGTGGTGGTGATGATGATGATGGTGGTGGTGGTTGTCGTGGTGGTGGTAATGATGATGATGATGATGATGATGATGATGATGATGATGATGATGATGATGATGATGATGATGATGATGATGATGATGATGGTGATGGTGATGGTGATGGTGATGGTGATGGTGATGGTGATGATGCTGATGAGGAGGAGGAGGAGGAGGGAGGCGAGGAGGGGAGGCAAGCCAGGTGCGCTCGCGTCATATCTGACGTATTACCATCTCCCCCAGCCCGTACCATTGCGCTGATTTGTTCTCGTTCTGCGGACGCGTGTCATGGCGGATCTGGAACTCCCAGACAGACCTAATCGTCTTATGCGTACTTCACCAAGAACAGCAGCAGCAGAAGCTGGAGTGGAAGGAGCGGGAGGAGCAAGAGGACCAGGAGAAGGCGGAAAATGGGAAATGAGGGGGGCGACAACGATGAAAAAGGATTCGGATTCAGAAAAGTGACACGCGCTGGCGCCATTGCGCTGTTTTGAACAACGGGAACAAAGCGCTGATCCGAAAATGTGGTGCCTTGCAGCGGGAGAACCATGTTGAAGCTCCGAACACCAACGCCACAGGAAGGTTGGGAATTCGAACATCGTGAAAAAACACAGTTGGAAACCTAGACCCCATCCTTGTGCTTCATGTCTCGAGCCCGACCGATCTGAGAGGGCCCCAGGGCCCAAATCTGGGCGAAGACACCCAGCGCTACAAGATTGCGACGCCAGGGTCCTCCATCTTGGGAGTAGGGAGGGGAAAAGGAAGAGAGAGCAAGGGAGATGGAGAAACAGAATAAGAGAGAGGAGAGAACAGAAGAGAAGACAAGCAGTGGGATAGAGACAGAGCGCTTCGCGACGACGAGAAGAGGAGACGACGACGACCGACGCGCCCGCCGAGAGGACATGGAGGCGCTGAGCACCGCCCTCTGTGCCGCGCAGAGCGGCCGCCAGGACGACCACTGCTGCACCCCGCCGAACCCCCTTCCCTGATCGAGCGCGAGGGCGGCGCGAGCTGGCGCTCCACGGAGGCCACCGCCCCCAGACGGGTCGAGGACCCAGATCTCCGACGGCATGCTTTTTGTCGCCCGCGGTTTGCCCTCGATTTCGGGGGCCCGCATCGGGCGCGGGGGCCATCAGAAGCGGGCCCGGGAACCAGAACCGGGGCCAGGGAGAAAGGCCGCCCCCCAGGGGGAGGGGCGCCTTTCGGAGGGGGTCGAGGACCCAGATCTCCGACAGTACGGTTAGCGTCAACGAGCTGCTTTACGTCAGCTTCGGCCCTCGAGGCCCGGTATGGAGCCGGGGGCCATCAGAAACGGGCCCGGGAGCCAGGAACGGATCTGGGGCGGAAGGCCGACCACGGGGGAGGAGTTTCGTGGTTTCCCCTCGGTTTCGACCATATAGAAGCAGGCCCGGGGATTGGAAACGGGCCCAGGGCGAAAGGCCGCGCCCCAGGGGGGGGGGCCGCCCAGGCGGGTCGAGGACTCGGATCTCCGACGGTGTGCTTCTTGTCAGCCGGCGCGGTTTTCCCTCGCCTTCGGCCCTCGAGGCCCGGCATCGGGCCTGGGAACCATCAGAAGCGGTCCCCGGGGACCAGAAGCGGATCCGCGGCCAGAGGCCGCCCCCGGGCAAGCGGTCGAGGACCCAGATCTCCGGGGAGGTGCTCCGTGTCAGCCGGCGGTTTTCCCTCGATCTCGGTCCCCTCGGGGCCCGGCAATGGGGCCCCAGGAGCTCTCAGGAGCGGAGCTGGGGCGCGAGGCGGCCCCTGGGGAGTGGGGTCGGGACCTCCCTGTGGGGCTGCAGATTGAGGAAACGGTCGGGTCCGCGAGCGTCAGGGGAGGAGGCGCGGCCTTCGGGAGGGCGAGGAGCGGGCACCTCGCCAACCCTCGGCGGAGAGCCGGCAGACGGCGGCGGAGGCCAGGCGGGGCGACTTCTCGGAGGAGGGCCGATCGAGACCACGGCGGCCTTGCCTGGCGTTTTTTCGCTTGTCCGGCGGCCTCCTGGAGGCTTCTCGTCGCCACGGCTGGATCGCCTCAGGATGGGCCCCGGGAGAGGACCGGGGACCGAGTTCAAGCGGATTTGGGCTGGGCTGGAGGAGCGCCGTTGTTTCAAGTGGCCCTCCTCCGAATTTCGCCCCTCTCGGTGGAAGGCTGGCGGAGTGCGGCGCAAGCCAAGCGGAACGACTTCGCCAGCGGAAGCCGGGGGGATGCTGGCGGAGGCCGCGGAGAGCTCGGGTCCACCCCCCCTTTCCAATCTCGAGGGGCGGCCGCTGCAGGAGGGCTCTCCGGGGTGCCCGCAGCGGCCCAAGCCGCGGCGATCACCGACACGAGCGCACGCTCGTGCTTGCCCGTCTGCCTTCGGGCCGCGTCTCCCAGACCCTCGGCACCTGCCTCCCCACCTTTTCGCTCCTCCCCCTCCGGCAGGCTCCTGCTGGCCCCTGCCCCTCGCTTGGGCGCGCGAGCCCCGAGGAGGAAGAGGAGGAGGAGGAGGAGGAGGAGGAGGAGGAGGCAGAGGGCGAGGAAGAGGAGGGGGGGAGCGAGGCAGGCGAGGCGCCAGGCGAGAACGCGAAGACGAGAGCGGGTGGGCGGTCCTGTCAAGTCTGGCGGGCCCAGGCTCGGGCGGTCGAGTCCAGCGCGCGGAATCTGACCCGGGCGGGCGCATCGGGTCGGGCCAGAAGCTGCGCTTCTAGTCCGAGTAGATGGGGTCGGAGGATCGCGCAGGATCGCCGACGATTCGGCTGGATGTGGAGCCCGTGTTTCCCCACGCCGATGCACAGCCGATGCATCCTCGATGTATCGCCGATGCATCGGCGATGCGGCGCGATCCTCCGACCCCATCTACTCGGACCCCATCTAGGAGGCCTCTAACGCTGGGCGGTCGGATCGGGCCGCGCTGGGCGGACCCTGGTACAGGCGGTTGGGTCGAGAGGGAGAGTGAGGGAAGGAAAAAAAGAGAGGGTGGATGGGGGGGGTGACTGGACCTGGTAGCTTACACGGCTCCAGACGCAGATCGACCTCAGGATTGCGCTTGAGGGTGCGGCGCGGGGGCGCGAAGGTAACAGCGCCTCGCGCGGCGCGAAGCGCGAGATTGGGTGGCCTGGGCTCTCAGAGCCAGCATGCTCGTTGCGTGATATCCGACCCCGCATCAAACTTCTGGGTCGTTCTTGGACGTCGCCGCGGCGATCGCGGCGGCCACAAATCGGGGCAAGGTTTTTGTCAAGGAGTGGCATGCCCCTTTCCCAGGCCCCCCTCCCGCTCTGCGATGTAGACGTCGCTCATAATCAACCACATGGCGACAGAGAGTTATCAATATGGGCAGTCATGTTCTTTGGCTAGGGGCCGACTATCACGCAACCCTGCTGGAAAAATTGATGTATACATTCCAGTGCCAGCCGCTTTCTCGCCAGTGGTTGTGTGGTTCTTTATGGGAGCCTCAGAGGTTCCCAAGAATTCGTGCGGTTTGGGGATTTAGCCGGATGTGGTCGACAAGGGTGTAGAAATCTGAACGAAATTTGGTCGAAATCACGTTTATGATGGGGGGCCGCGGAGGCCCACAGAGGCTCTTATGAAGGCTCACCCAACAGGGGGCAGCCCGCCCGATGGGCATGCGCGCGCGCTCGAGGAGGCGGACGTCGCCCTGGCGGCGGCGAGGCGGAAGCTCGCGGCGCAGGCGCTCGAGCCCCGGCGCCCCTCCCCTGCTTCGGTTCGCCGCTGGGCCAGCGGGCGCGCTCGCCGAGTCCGGATACTGTCCGGCGGTGCGCCCGGGAGGGAAGTGAGAGGGAGAAGGCTTTCTCAGAAGGCGGCGGGGCTTCTCGGCAGCCCCCCGGCCCTCTGAGAAGTTGATTGTGTCCTCGGGGAGGGCTTAGGACACTTCTCAGAAGGCCGGAGGCCTGCCGAGCCTTCTGACAAGGCCCGCCCCCTCTAACTTACCCCCCGCGCTCGCCGCCGCCGACTTTTGGATTGAACTCGAGGATCGGGCATTGCAAGGACGCCCACCCAAGCAAGTCGACTGAGGAAGTCTGCGCCAGTTCGCTCGACATTGGCATTCGAGTGCACCCGTGCAGTCCGCAGCTGCTTTCGCGAATCGACGTGCGACTCGGCGGATGCAGTCGGTTGTTGTTGCACGTCGAACAGCTTCCCCGCTAGGGTGAACTCGGAATGCAGTGGCATGCGCACGTGGAGTGACCCTGGCAGCTTTTACTAAAGAGCGTTTTGCTAAGGGGTGTTCTGCCCACCCCCGAGACATCGACAGAAGTATTCGAAGGTCCGCGCGGATTCCTCGGATCGGCCCTGGACCACCCTGGCGGCGCCTCCAGCGCCGCCGCGGGCGAGCTCCTGGCACAGGGAGGGGGGTCCAGCGCAGATCCAAGAAATTCGCGCGGACCTCCGGAAGTGCTTTCATGCTGATTTCTCTTCCTCTATGAAGAAGCGCTGGCGGTTGGATCGCTTGGGGATGTGGGATACGGCAGTCCTTCCGCGAGCGCGAGAGGAACAGATTCAGCGCGAGTGGGAGGACTGGATCGGGCCGTCGAGCAGGGTGGCATGGGGTGCGCGTTTGTGACGCAATTTGGAGTAACCCATCAGCGCAGTGGTCCGCGGTGATGAGGGGACTAGAGCAGACGCAACACAGAGGGGGGACGCCGATGGTTGAGGGGGAGGGATAGATAGTGCGTGCTGGCTGGCGGCGGCAGTCTAAAGTTGGGCAGTGACCCCCAGCGGTTCAACATCCGTCCTCGGGGTTATTTCAACATCAGCGACTCATTCATCCTCATCACCCTTCTCTTACCTCAAGATCGGCACCCATCTCGGTCCTGAAGCGCGCTCTGACCAGGATTTTGAGGCGAATGCAGCCGAGGCGGCGAGGGTTCCCCAGAGGCTCAAGAGGACATCTAACACAGAAAAACAAAGTTCACCATCCCTCATCCTCATCATTCTCATCTTCATCCTCTACCTGCTCATCCCCTCCTTCAGCTGAGAGAAGCTGCTGGCCATGTCGTGGCAGCTATTCCCCAGACTGCGGCCAGGCTAAGTACAGCCAGGCTATATTTGCCAATGGCCAGCCCAAGAGAATGCGGGCAACTCAGCCGAGCACCCGAGCAGAAAGGGAGGAGCAGCAGTGGAAGAGAGTGTGAGAGATAGCAAGAAAGCGAGAGAGCGAGAGGAACAGCAAAACAACATTAATAACGAGAGAGAGAGAGAAATAAAAAAAAAAAAAAAAAAAGTGAGGGAGAGAGAAAGAGAGAGAGAGAGAGATTCGCTCTGCGCTGCAAGTGTTGTTTCTTACCCTGAGGCCACCACTTGCACGAGCTCTCTGGAGGCAAGGCGCCCCGACTGAACCTGCGAGCACGCGTGGGGCACAGTCGGCCCTCCTATAGCCTGGCGGCAGCGGACAATCAACGATAGCAGACCAGAGGAGATTACGCCACACAAGGAGGACCCCAGCAGAAATCCCCGGCAGTTGCCGTCTCTGGAGGGCGAGGGAAAGAGAGAGAACCCAGCCGGACTCACATTGTCAAGCTAGGCTGCCGGCGCCTGGGTCGCACAGGTCCCGGCAAAGGCCCCGCAATCACAGGCTGAATCGTTCGGGTGGCCCTCCGCCCCAGCTGTAGCCACCCAAGCTGGTTCATGGCTATCGGCGCAGCCACCCCAACTGCGCCGGAAAGCATCGACCACATGTTCTGGTACTCGGAACCGCGTACAAGCTCCACAGGAATCGAAGATGGACTGGATCCAGAAGCTCTCGGACGCATGGGTGAAGTAGAGCGTGACGTTCGCATTCCACAACTCAAACATCATCGAAGATCGTGGCGAAAGAAAGTGAACATGAGAACGGTCCAAAAAACGCCAACACCGAACGTAAAGAGGTAGAACGTGATCTGGTTGCTGTCCCACGCAGGCATCTCATCCAGCTCATGCGGCGGAGTCGGAGGTTGAGGAGGTTCGGCACGTGGCCAATGGACTTGGACAGGAACGAAGTCAGCTTCAGACTCTGTCGAAGAACTGCTGTCTCAGATCGTATCTCCAGCCACGATCTGGAGGAGGCAGGCCACCTTGTTCTTCTTGTCCTTGGCTGGGAAGGTCTTCTTCGGGAAGTGGTCCTTGAGGAGCTTGTTGATGTTGCCAGTCGCGATCTGATCCTCGCTCATGGCCGAGACAATGAAGCGAGACAGGGTCGTCCTGTCGCAATCCTTCGGGACCTCGTGCTTGGAGCCGAGGATGCTCTGTATCCACGCGGTCTCGGAACGGCTGAGTCCGTCGGGCTGCGCTCCATCCCCGCGCCCACGTTGATCGCCAAAATCGTCACGACCGCTAGATGCTTGCATCCCGCCTGCGCTGGAGCCTCGTTGAGCCATCGACGCACGACCAGCATCCTCCCTGGCACCTCCAGAGCTCGGAGGGGGAGGCGGAAAGCCGCCACCACCAGAGCAGGGGAGGGCGCCAATCGACCTCAAGTGCTCCTCGAAAGTCGACCGCATGGCAGATGCGAGCAACTCACCTGTGCGCCTGGTCTTGTCCTCCTCGGCCTTTGCCGCCTTCTCCCGGCGGTCGTTGGCGCACTCTGGATCCACCGCCTCAAGCTGCGCACGAAGACGTTCCACTTCAGCCTGGCGACTTGCGGGGGAAAATGAACGCGAAGAGTGATGATGACCATGGTCACGCCGATCTCGAGAGCGATCGGCCTGGCCTCCACCATACCAGCCACCAGAACCATAGTCGGAATAGCCCCAATCGCGGTTGCCGCCCTTGCCCTTGTTACCAGACTTGCCTTGGTAGCCCATGGCGCGCGTCCGCTGCTCGGCGGGCGGGGGGCCAGACAATCTCTCGAAACGGCGCCAGGCAGCACGAGCTTGTTGGGCCGAAATGCACCAAGGCAAAGAATGCACGGCGGCTCGGATAGCCGATCGCGGATAGCCCATGATGAACAACTCACGAAACAACTCCAAGAGGCAGACAGTCGCGACAACACATGGAAGCCGAAGCTGACTTACACGAGACATGCGACCACGAAGAAGGGACACAAGACCACCGAGTCCTTGGGGAAGTACGCCAGGAAATCTGATGACTGTCGTTTTACATCTTGAGTCCGCCCTATAGAGAAGCCACGGCCGATGAGGGTTCTTCGGTAGGAGAGAATCCTGGGATCCGCACACAATGATCTCGACGTCAAGGCAAACGGGACGGACGGTAGCATCGTGGAGCGGCGAAGCCGGCGATAAGTTGATGCCATGCGTAAGCTGCAGACTATGAAACAAGCAGTGGCGGCAGTACCTCGTAGACATCGCCAGAATGTCGTCGACGTACCGCCGGCGACCAATGTCCGGTGATCTTGATGATGACGACGGGTAAAAGCCATGATCACGAAAGCGACCAGGATCTTAATGGACAAACCACTCGCGAGCCCCGAGGACCACCGATACACAAACGCCACTCAAAATCCCACCAATGGGAAGGCCCTGCAGCTCCCAGACCTGACCACCAATGACGACCACAGATAGCCACGCAAAAGCCGCCAGCCACTGCGCGATATTCTGCATGCTCACCTCGAACCAAACATGCGGAGGGCCAGTGACAGGGAGTCGAGTTTCCTGGTGCCTGGATTGACGTATCAGTATAGACGATGAGCCAAGGCGTCCCAGGATACCTCGAGAAAGTAGCTGCCATGAGCTCGACACCATCGATGCGGAGCACTGCTCGAATGCTTGGTCCGCGTCGACCACAATCACCGACAACTCAAGAAGGGGGGCCGAGCACCGCGCACACTGAGGATCCACTCGTGAAGGGAGACCCTCTCGAAGTCCGTGTACCGCGCCGTAGAGCATGATGGGGTCGAATAGTTCGTCTGTAACGCCCACCTTGGAGATCATGTCCCGAGCTCCGCGACCAATCACCCTGTATCCGAAGCACCCTGGCATGTCCCGGCAATCAATCACCCGACGAATACATGAGTGGCCGACCTTCTGGCATGCACGATCGCCTAACAACCCCCAGCACTTGCTCTTGATGAGCGGGAACATGTAGAGAGGTCGGGTCTGGCGACGACGGCCCGGAAGTATCGAGGCGGTGCACAACCAGCTCGGGAGGGCTAGGCGGGCCCTCGCCCACAACCATGCCGTTGCCCCCGAATCAGAAAGATCAGCACGTCGGCGCCAACTCGGGTCACAAGAGAGCGTTTGAAGTACATAACGCATCATGTCGGGCCATTGGCGCACCATATTCGATAAACTTCCTTATCCGCTGCCATAAAGATCAAATCGAAGCACTGGTTGAGGGAATTCTCCATGTCACACTCCATGCACTACCATGTCTCGGGAGGTTCCGCGGACTCCGTCGATGAAGAAGAAGAAGAAGAAGAAGAATGAGCTGCCGAGATCGAACAACAACGCGAGAACGCCTCGGAAAGATGCCGAAGTCCACGACGTAGCACCTTCATGTGCAGCCAACACTTGGTGGCCCATCCTGCGAAAGCGGCCCGAGCTTGACGAAGCAGTCGGCGAGGACGTTGCCATACAGGCAGAGGCCAACACCCAGGCAGGCAGCGGAGCCCTCGCGGAGGTAGAGGATGCTGCAGCAAGCTCGGCGATTGCTCATGATGCACACGGTGATCACGAAAATGACGAGGTCCGTTCACCACGTCCTTCCAATACGACCGTTTGGAAAATGCCAAGCGGG